ACCACATCTTGATCCATGTTAATAAAATTATTTTTTTTTTGTAATCATGAATTGATCCTATGTCAATAAAGGATGTAAAGACCGCCATGGTTCGAAAATAGTAGTTTTATTGGACTGGGTTGTGTTTGAGATGTTGTTTCAGGACCATATTATTTTTTATTGTGGCCACATTGAGTTTTTGTTTGATTAAGCCGAGAGTCATTTTCAAATATATACATATAATTTTATTTTATTTCTAAATGACTACAATTAATGTTGTCAAAGTGGGAGAATGTTAGAATTTTTCTTATATTTGACTGTCATTAATTGATAGTTTATTTTAGTTTGTGAAAAACGGGCTAAATTTAAGGTCTAATGAGATGCGTCAAATATTATTAAGTGAATATATTTTGATGGGTTTATGTACATCTTTTAATTGATGTGATTAAAGTGATTGAGTGTAGGTCTTAATCTAATTGTGACTCGTAATGAGAAAACCCATTAGATTTTATTATAAATAACTGGTTAGGTCCCCTCCCATTTCATATGACTTGTCCCATTGAGAACCGTCTATTACTTTGAAGAAGGAGGAGAAGATCTTGTCATTTCAAGAAAAAAATTCGAAAATTGAATATTATGGCTCGTACATGTATGTTCTAAACCTTGTAATTTAGGTGTTCTAAATTTCAAATACGAATCATTAAAATTTTTACAGGATAGCCATCAAGGTGTTCTAGTAGTTGGGCTTCTGGACCTGATACCCTGTGATAATGCTTGATTCTCGGAGTCAGGTGGCTTGATGATTTCCTCAATCATCTGGACAACTTCACCCATTTTTGGTCTCATGTCAGGCACCCTGGCTACGCAGGCCATTGCAATCTGAAGCATCTGCACCATCTCTTCTTCAATATTCTCATATTTCATCAGATCAACATCAAACACTTCTGCTGTCCATTCCTCTCTAACAACTGACTGCACCCACCTTGGTAGATCTACCACATCATCATGCCCTGCTGACTGGACTGGTGCTTTGCCAGTCAGTATTTCAAGGAGGAGAACACCAAAGCTGTAAACATCCGACTTTTGAGTAGATCTTCTTGTCTCAATCACCTCGGGGGCTCGGTAGCCAGTACTTCTAGGTGGCATAGTAGGGAAGCCCATTAGAGGAGTTAGGCCAAAGTCTGAGATGCATCCATGGAGGTCTTGGGTGAGGAGGACATTTGATGACTTGATGTTTCCGTGTGTTAACTTCCCACCACCAGTAGAATGTATATGTTCTATGCCCTTCGCAGTTCCAAGCGAAATCTTCACTCTGGATTCCCAGTCAAGTGTTCTGCCAGAGTTCCTGTTTCCTGTAATTATTACAACAAGACAAAAGTGACACAAAACTTGGTGTTTTGGCAATTTGAAATACACACAGGGTTCCTAAAACTTCCAACTGCAACTAACATTTACATCTGCTCTTGTGGTCGTTAAATTAGGGGGTTAATATATAATGCACATCTACATAAATATGTGTAATGTCCATTCTACATTTCTTGTGTGTGTATGATGGCTGTTTAATCCTATCAGGTGCGAAAAAAAAATATTTATGCTTGTTTGTAGCCAGTAATGGTGGATTTACTCATTGTTGGCAAGATGCCACTATGTTATCTGGTGATTGAGTGTTGTGATTCATTGCGGAAGCTAAGAAGAAACTAAAAAAAACTTGGAAAGCAAAGTAGTAGGAAAGGGCTATTGGATACCATGCAGCAGTGTGGACAAGCTTCCATGGGCAATGTAGTCATAAACTAGGAGTTTCTCATCCTTCGAATAGTAATGAGAACGAAGGGGCACAACATTTGGGTGATGACCAGCCCTCCCCACAATTTCCATCTGTTGTTCAAACTCTCTCTTCCCAACCACCACTTCCTTCAGCCTTTTCACAACCACGATTGTGCCCTCCTCTAGGATAGCTTTGTAGGTTGTCCCGTAACTCCCCTTTCCCAAAACTTCAGCAGAGGCTCTCAACAAATCCTCAAGATCAAAATTATAAGAACCACCTTCGAAGAAGACCAATTTGTTATTCTCAGCCTCTTGCACCCCACTCCCAAAGTCTTCCTTAGTCTTTTCACCCCTTCCACCACTGAAAGCATTCCCTTTAAGCACACCAGCTCCACCACTATTTCTTTTCTTTGGGCAGCACAGTAGCACCATCAGAACTGGAAGAAACAGTACGGCAGAAGCCCCGACTGCAATGGCAATTATAGCAACTGTGCTTAGTTTCTTCTTGGTTTTCTGTTTTTGAGGGACTATTTGCGGTGGGGGCAAGTAAGCTTGGGAAGGAGATGGTGGCAAGTAAGCTGGGAGAGGAGATGGTGGCAAGGAAGTTGGGGAAGGAGAAGGAGCGGGGGTGATGGAAGGGCACTGGGTCAGTGGTGGCCCACACAACTTAGAGTTCCCTTCAAAAGATGAAGCAGGGAAAACCCGGAGGGAAGATGGAATTGTACCATTAAGGTTGTTATTGCTCAAATTCAAATGGTTAAGCCTTGGAAGGTTAAGATCAGGGATGGATCCTTCGAGGGAGTTGTTCTGGAGGTTCAATCCAGTAAGATTTGTCAAATTCTGAATGGTGGCTGGAATGTTGCCTTTGAACGAATTGAAGGAGAGATCAATCGAGATGAGTTGGTGAGAAATAGGGGAAGGAATATCACCTGAAAGGTTGTTCTGTTGGAGGTATATGTAGCGTAGGGAAGGAAGAGAGAGGATATCAGATGGAAGAGTCCCATTGAGGCGGTTAGATCGGAGGCTGAGGATTGTGAGTGCACCCAGCTTCCCTAATGTGTTAGATGGAATGGGACCATAGAGTCCAACACCAGGGAGACGGAGGGAAAGTACACGAGTGGCATCTGGGGTGCAAGTAATGCCGACCCAAGAGGTGCAGATTGATGCATTGCTATTCCAGTTAAGTTTTCGGCCATGAGGTACCACAGCCGCAAAGTTAAGAAGGGCCTGTTTGTCCGATTTCAGGTTAGCAGTAGTTCTGGTTAGGAGAAAGAGTAAGAAGAGCAAAGGTAGAAGGGCAAAGGAGGAGGGTTGCTTCATTTAGAAGAGTTCTTCAATTTGAGCCCGTTGGTGATTGTGGCTATAAGTTCGAAATCCGAATTCTCACTTCTTTTCTTGGTGCAGCGTTTCTCTTCATCTTGTACCACCGTGGAAGGATATAATTGTAGCTGTCCGTCATACAGCAAAGTAGCAGCAGCAGTGAATACATAACACAACAAAATAAGTTTAATTTCCCGTTGGGAAGGGAAATTTTACATGATCCTAATCCCAAGGATTTCAGTAGTTTAAAGAGAGAAACCCCACAGTTGGCTACAGAATCTAGTCTCGTAGTATACCATGACATTAACAACTTGTTATCTAGTTTTTCATTGTTTACCCGTTTCCAATTGAATTGCCGACATATAAATTTGGTGAAGAACGTCAGGATATGAAGAAAAAAAAAACAGCTAATACTAAATTGAAATATCTCACAAATTTAGTAGTGTTAGTTTGAGGGAGGCTTTAATTTCCACCTCCAGACAGGTTCTCCGTCCACCCCAAGTAGACCATCCCACAGAGAGAGAGAGAGATTTTACCTGGAATGTGATTTTGAGAAGAAGCAAGACAGCTTCAGTGATGTGTAATCTGAAGGTGAAAGGAAGTAAAAATCAGCAGAAGTTACTTAGATGGTAGTCGCTGCTTCTGCTATCTGTTGTTGATTCCTCTCTAGCTAGTGAAGTAGAGGAACAAGTCTAGTGGGTACCCTAACCACAGACTGGCAATCACATGCATTGTTGTTTTCCAAATAGAACTTCATTGAAGAGGGAAATTCGCTGATGAGATGAGACCGCAAAACAGTTTATGGTTTGTCGGCAAAGTCATATGTAACTGACGTTAAGCAAACGGAAGGTGACCCCTAACACAGATCTCGATGACTTTTTACTCTGCTATATTCCCAGCGGTTCTTCTTTAAGCCCAGGAATTCATTCAGATGCAGGAATGCATCTCTCTCTCTCCCAAAATTTCACAAATCGATCAGTAGCACTCCAATAGAACTCCAAATCTGCTAATCAGCCTACTCTTGAAGACACCCAACAGCTGCATTTTTCATCTAATGGGTTCATGATATCAATTAAGTCCAAACCGGCCCCTGAGCCTTATATATTAGTATTTTTAGTGGATGATCTACCAGCTGCTTCTTGTCATCTGTACCATATATTGTTTATTTAGCAGGAAAATGTAAGTTGCACCTACTAAATGTATCTAATTTTTACACTCATACTTGATACAATACTAATGATACTGAATTAGCTCTGTCGATTAAGACCCAGCTGAAATAATAAAGCCACCTAAGCATTGACCAACTTGTTGAGGACTGGGTAAAAGAGACGTGAGGTTCAATGCATTCTTGCTGCTGCTGCTTTTTTTTTTTCTAGCCAAAACAATTAAGCACTTAATTAATGGGTTGGTTTAACCAAAAGGGTAGGCAGGAAAATGCTGGCCCAGTTTTATTAGTATTTTCTTTTGTAGTTCGTTGGACAGCAGGTTTAGACTACTATTCTATACTACTGCTATACCCTCGGTGGAGGCCTGGACTGGGGAATATGATAATGATAGTATGATACCGTTGACAAAGCCTGGTTGTTGGGTTTTGTTAAGGTGGTCCACCAGATTATAGAAAGATGATTTTAAACTGTTGTTAGTCATTGGTCACATCCTCTTTGGTGCCAACTACAAGGGTTTTCCACTTGAGGGGAGAATCTTGGAAGTCACGTTTCAGTTCTCAATTTTGCATTTGCTTTTGTCAAGTTAATCTTCTTCGTCGGTTCAACTCCCACATTCTTTTCTTTTGGGTACTTGACTTATTTTTTTGTACTGTGATTTTTTTATTTAAATAACTATAGTTATTGGTTTACAATATTATTTCAAATATTTTCTTGTCCTTTACCAAGCGGTTGCTTTACATTTTTCTTAAGAGTTAGTAAATGATAATTTACTATACTAGAAAAGAAATTGATTTGATTACTTCAAGTACTATGTCACTACTACCCTTATGTCTACTCAAAAATAAATAAATTATGTATAGACGGAGAGTACAATTAGTTATATAGATAAAACAATCAAAATTAAGGACGAGAAGCATTAGGAAGCCATTTCCACCTCAAATATTCATTTCTTATATTTTTTTTGAGCTATTTTAAAAAATAAAATTGGATCACCTGCATCTCACAAATTCCGCGGTGACTGTCTTATGCAAATGCCCTGGACTGGACACCGTAATAATATATTTTGTTGAGGTTTCCCAGGGGATTGAAGAGCTCATCATCATGTCATAGGTAGGAGGTAGAATCTTTGAAAATCGGGGCACATGAGGATGGGTGTTGGAGTGAGTTGGCCGCTACATGTTGCAATGCCTTCAACCGCCTGCACCCCCACCCCCACCCCCACCCCCTCAATTAAGCAGTTCTGAATATTTTTAGAGCACCTGACTAACCATTTTTACCACACATAATTTCTTCGTCCCACATAAGCCAAGCAGTTAGTGGGATTTTTTACTTGGTGGTGCTCTGCCTCAAAAATATGAGTAATGTTAGACTGACGAAACAAATGAATTAAAAACACAAATCAAATTGATATGTTAATATTGGTGATCCCTTCAAATTGTAAAGTTGTAGCAGGAAGATCCCCTCAAGCATAATAAACACAGGACCCTTTATTCTTGATCAAACCAAATTAATTATAATTTCAAACTTAACTCTCATTGGAACAATATTAATCGAATATCCAAATATCAATAACCCTCTTCTACCCTATTGCACACACCTTGAAACAAAAGAGAGTGTTGAACCAGAACACTGAAAGGTCAGGAGTTGTGGCCAGAGGAGAAATAATGAACGTTGCTAGGTGTAAGACCCATGAGTTGTAGTAGGCCTTGAACATGAGGGCAAAAGGAAGACACCTGCACTAGAGCATGTACAAGTCTCGAGTTTGAAGACTTCAGTGGCTCATTCCAAACCATTTGTAGGAAAACTGCAGTTTGTATAACACAGTTGGTCAACTTGCTCCTCCGGCTAGGGTCTAGTCAATTAACCTCCCCATGCAGGAGGATAACATAAATACTCTTGCTTTTACGTATTCAGAAAGTTGGTTTTGGTCTTCAAAAGGTTGGAACACCCAAAGGCCACGGTAAACTGAAAGAGAGAAAAACGCCCGAGTATTTCTTCAATTGCCACAATTCAATGACACCGTTCAGTATTAGCATAAGCATTAAATAAGTTATTTTGTATGCAGAAGACGATAGATTCTGGTCACTCTCTTGCTAATCGTATAAAACAAACAGGAAAGAAAAACCAATATGTAGAAGGGTACCCTCTCATGATCTGAAATGCTCAATAGACAGATTCTGTGCTCCCCATCCCCCCCACCCTTTCTTTCCTAAAAACCCACTCCCTTCAATCAACCAAATAATTTAACAAAAAATTGTGAAAAATCATATAGAAGAACTTCTTCACAGCAGGTATGATGGGCCAAAAGGTTCAGGTAGAGGCTCAAATCCGTTATCAAAAATGGGTCCTTGATCAGACTTATCATCAACACTATGCAGCCAATTCGTGTTCTTCAAGTCCTCCTTAAGTAGAATTGTGTCATACCGAGAGCTCTCATAGATGTCCACATCAGTCAGTTTTGCCGAAAATTGACACTTGTCTTCTTCAGTTCCATTTTCGGAAGACCTATCAACATAATTGCCATTCTCTGACATGGCACCAATATTTCTGACAAGCGCGTTCCCATTGACAGATGTTGGCATGCCAAAAACACGACCCGGTTGGCTTTTATGGTTGGCAGATCGAATGCTCTGAGGAAAGAGGGTTGACCCTGAAAGAGGACGAATGCTACCAGTGCCATTTCTTATATCCTGCAACAGACCAGAAATATATTTAGAATTGATATAACATGATAGAATTTGTTTCTTTTATAATAGGGATTCACTATTGCTTCATATGTACATCCAGAGTAATTTCGAAGTTCATGTTGGCTGCCCCCTATCACTCCAACCACTTTTAGTCAAGGAAATGGGATATTGAATGAAGAAATATACCCTTGTCATGTGCACGGAAAAAGTTCAAGATGATACCCATTTCTTATACCCCATTCAGCGAGCAAGGAAAAAGTTTTATTCCAAAACAGAGTTCTGAACTCAAACTGACAGGAAATCAATTCCTTAGTTCTCAAGGTCTGGACACGGGTCCAGTTTTCTTCTCCACTACATTGTACATTAACTGTAATTTTACAATAATGTCTTGATGGAAACCACAATTTCATAATGGAATGATTTTGATAGTAAATTCAAGATGATGTTTAGCCATGATCATCATTAAAAATTGAATGACAATCGTGGCAATGGTAAGGGAACATGATAGAGCTACTTATATTTGTTGCAGCAAATATCAATAGGTGGATGATCATATGAATCAAGATAATCACAGAATTTTCCACATTATGAATATAGCATGATGGTGATGATGTGTGTTACAGATAAAGGTGATGGATGCAATAATGATCATAATTATGATTCATTATGTGATGTATGACCACTTGACTTTCTAAACAACTTTGAGAGTCCTACCAAAATGACCAGGCATCTACGGATAAAGGCATTTTCATAATACGAAACTATTAACATCCCAAACTACATACTGATATTATAACTCGAAAAATTGCAAACTCTAAAAACGAGGAAAGAGTATGCATACCATATGTCTAATAGCCATATCCAGGGATTTCTTTGAGATAGTCCTCCCAAATCCAGTGCTCTCAGTTGATGTCTTTACAGGTTTCCGCATTGACAACTCTGGTACATGAGGAGCCTTACGAACCTCTGGCATATCAATCATCTGCCCATTGCCAAGCACACGGGCTCTTCCAGTGGATTCGGTGACTCTTCCCCTGTTAACAACAGGGGATGACTGTCTTCTAGGAAAATTTCCAGGGCCAGGTGTTTCCATGTTCCCCTTCCCAGTCACAGACACACCTGGCCGGGATCTACCAGCAGAAAGTGGTCTGTCTGGTAAAGTTGTCCGCAAGTTTGGTGGAGTGTCAAGTGGGAAATCAGGGAGAACCATTGGCTGTGGTGTGGGCCGCACTCGTGGACCCGGTGAGCTTGGTCGTGATCCTGGAGCCAAATTACGTCCATTTGACGGAGTACGCCCACCTGAGGTTGAAAGTCCCGCAGATGGAGATAAAGAAGGTGTTGGGTTCCGACGAGTAGGCGTCGATGGCCTAGAGTTTGCTCGAGCAGAAGGGGAATTAAAGTTTGCAGGAATTTGCGGCCTAGAACTCGGAGTTGAAGGCCTTGAGTTTATGGATGGTCTTGCTTTTTCAAGGGAAGTGCTGGTGGGGGCTGGACGAGCTTTGGAAGGAGTTGAGGATCGTGATAATGTTGGACGGGAAGATGAAGTGGAAGGTCTTGCTGTTGACGAAGAGCGGGCTGTGGGGGTGGATGGTCTAATGTAAGAAGAGACTGACGCAGAGCTTGTGTTGAGAATTGAAGTGGATTTATTAGAGTATGTACTGTATTGGGAACTAGAGATAGAAGGGCGAGTGACTGAACTGCTTCTAGTTGGCCTCGAGGGATGGTTGTTCTCTGATTGAGACACTGAAAGCTGAAAATGAAGAATTCAATAAGCATTTGATTACATGAAACACTGTTTTAACGGCAACCAATCATTCTCGAACACTAAATAGAAATATTTTAACTGTTTTATCTTAAAATGGGAATAGTGTTATGTTAAGATTCCAAATGAAGAATCATTGAGCAATTACTTGAAAGAATGGAATTACCTTTATGGTAATGAGGAAGTTAAGGTGGCATTAAGTTTGGTTAACCGTCTACCACCGGAGTTATATTATTGGCTAACCAATGTATGAATACGAAAAGGCGAAACATAACCATATGTTCAGCAATGTTGGGTTGACGTCAAACTGGCCTATAAACACCATAGTGTCAGGTTCTATCAGGTCGGTTCTTAGGATCTCTACATTGAGAAACCCCAATCCAAGGTTGAGTCAATACCCCTACAATAAAATGATTATCCAGATACACCATCTCAATGCCCAGAAATATTCTATTATTGAACAATTATTATTCCTGTGGGATTAAGCATTGTTAAGTTAAATCATAAATGCATGCTATAAGATTATGTACCAATAGTCAATTTTTCTTAAGTTCCTCAGAGGAAACAATCAGTTTGAGCCTCCAGCAAACAAGTTTGAAGCCCTCTCTTCTACGATTAGGTGTCAAACTTTGCGAACTGACTAGAAGAGTATAACAATTCAATAATATTATTGGGCCATCTACAGTTCTCTTCATGAGTGACAAAAACACTGCAATCCATTGGATGACATATGACTTTTCTGCAATTGATTGGCTTTAGGACAAGCAGAGAAAATTTAAAGCAGATTTTCCAGTTAGTATCATCCCTAACGGAAAAATTGCAAGGTTGAAGTCCCATGGATTAGATGCAGATACAATATGGAGCAAACACGCTGCCATGACTAAACTTGAACCAAATCTTACGGCCAAAAATTCAAAATGGGAAACATACCCTCGAGGCCTTAGTTGTGGACACTGATCTAACCAATGGACTGCTTCTGGGAGCCACAGAGGTTGGTTGAGACTCACTTCCATCCACTGAAGGAAAGAGAGGAGTTCCAGGAGGAGTGAGAAGCCTATTCATACAAAAGGGTACGAAATTTAACTCAGAAATGTGTTGCAGTCTAAAATACAATTCCACTGTCAATAAAATAACTCTTGACGTAGATAAAAAAATGTCCAGTTTCCAGAAAAGATTAAAAAATGATATTCAAGCTTTACCTTGAATATTCACATTCTTTTTCTACACAAAGGATAAATAAACATGCACATCAGATTTGATTAAACAAACACGCGGTTTCATATTTTCCAAATCATTCAACCAACAACAAAATCATAAGGAGATAAATGCTGGTTCAGCTCAATTTGCTACAAATTCACTTCACGCAAAAGTGAAGTGGATCACTCGGTTTAAAAATATTTCAAGGTACAAGTGAATCTTTTTTGTGGAGCACATAAAAGCAATGCTCTAGAAAAATGTACACAAGTACATCTAGGACAACCAGATCACACCTCATTCAACCGGCAAAGGAGTCTACTGCTTTATCTTATACTCCATAAAGTCGTGTTGTATGAATAAATCCCGAACCCTAGTGAATCTCATAAATGTATCTATGTTCAATAGAAAGCTGGTCCTTGAACTACACTTAGTTTTATGAACAATTGACATGGAAACAACTAGATGATGAAAATTTCATTCCATCAGGAATGCACCTAAGCCACAAGACCAAGACCATAACGTTAAATGCATGGCAAACAAAAGGGAAACCAAAAGAGTGGTAGGAACAATTCACAAAGTCGGTACTACCTGTTTTCTAGTTCTTTGAAATATCCAGAGGTAATAGTGGTAACATGTCATCATGTATTCCTTTATGGCAATTTCACTATATATGCATTCCTTATTGTAAGCGATACTCGGGATAAATAGTTCAGTGGGAAGGAATTCTCAGGTAAACTTTGTGTCATAGTTTCTAATACATCATCTGACTCCAGAGCTGACGTTACGAAACAGAACTGTAGTGAAATGTGTTCCAAATTGAAACATCATCTGTTTAGCAAAATCTCATATCAAAAGAAACTACTTCCGGATGCAGTAATTTGTCCTTGTAGTATTAGAGCATCAAAATGCTCTTTGAAGTGGCTATGTAACAGATCCCATTTAAAACTAACAACTGCCATATTAATTCAACATGAAAAGTGCATACTCTTCTTTACATGACGTTGGCCATATAATTAGTTTTGCTCCCAATAAGAATTAAGAAGCAACAATGGACAAAATTAACACATAGAGACACAATTAGAGATGGTCATTGACCATTTCATAGAAGGAGTTCAAACACTGTCTTTCGACGAATCAGAATACAACTATTGGTAAAAAGATAAAGCACACACATGGACCTAAGAGATTTGGCGACATTATTGAAACAGAGCTTTTCCTAATAGTCAGTAAATAAGACAAATGAAACAACACATACAAACTGTTTTGAGACTTGTAATGAATCCGTCTGACTGAAACTCAGCATGACACCACTAAACAAGTTTGTAAAACTGTTCATGATTATTACTGATTTGGTGCCATTTAAGTAGCAAGAAACAAGTGGATCATAACTTTTAACTAGTGCACAATATCAATTAATCAAGGCTATGTTGCAGATTTACCAATCATAGTCGTGCTTTCCTCCATCGGTCGATGTCAGTAGATCATCTAATCCGCTCTTTGCATGTTTTGCTGATCCAACGGAAAGCCTCCCCAATTTCGCCGAAACTATCCAGTAATTAAAGTAAAAATAAGATAAATTGTCAGCAAAGAACATAGGAAAATCCAAAAACAAAAAAAGAAATCTAATCTCAGAATAGTTATTTAATATAGAAATCAAATATGGATAGCGGACGAATTATTCACTATGCAGTAAATGATATAATGTAAATATATGATACTTTGAAGACACCGGTTTGCTGATCTCAATGCATACCACGCGAGAAAACAACACCATCACTATCACCTGGTTTATCACATCTCTAAATTTATGCATCTACTGTATATCTAAGTAGATAAAGGAATGCGCAATCTCAGAAATGTCGTATATCAAACGTCATCAACCGACTATAGGGGTAACTTCGATTGGGATATATACTACTACAGTCAAGGCCATAATATCTATATACGCAATCCCGAAAATAAACACAGAAAAATGACCACAATGATGAAGATTGGCACCGTCGGATTCATCGGATGAAGCAACGGAAAGACTCGGGCGATTCCTGGAGAAGAGATCCAAGTTCTCGTCGGAGTCCTTGGCGATTCCTGTGAAACTGAGGCCTCGCCGATGCTGCGAGCCCATCGGAACATTCCTCACACAGATGAGAGAATCCTTCAAGCTGCGATTCATAGCTATACTAACTCAAGGCCAATATCATCTCCAACGAAGCACACAGTGTGTGATTTTGTGGAGAGTGCAGTAGATGCAAAGGGAGGGAGGAGAGCTTTTTGTGATTTTTACGTCATGAAGGAGAGAGAGAGAGAGAGTAGATCTGTGGTGTATTGAGTGGGGGTTGTAGCTTCTTTTCAGGGGCAGCAATGCATGTGAGGAGTGCATAGAGAGAGCAGTAATTTAAAAAACACTGACACAGTGGGAAGGAAAGGCAGGAGGTGCTTCTTTACTTTATTTATTTATGAATTGTTGTCTTACCAAATCATTTTTTCTCGGTTTTTTTTTTTTTCCTTCTTCACTCACCAAATAATAATAAGATGTAATGTGGAATTTAATATAATTATAATTTAAATAGTGTGTCATTTAGTCCGTTTTTCAATTTTATTTTAGTCAGCAAGTCTGATTTTTATTTCTCTGTACATTTTTCATGCCATCATGACCATGAGTATGTATGTGGCAATGGTAAAAACACCCCCCCTCCCTCTCTCTCTCATGATGGTCATGATGATGATGCAAATAGAGAGATGCAAATGAGTCATACACCCACTTCTTATGATGCATCATGGCCCGTTAACAACTTATCTTTTGTTAGATTACCTACTCCAAGTAGGTTACTCAGCATAACTTTCGCTTGGATATCTTTGCACTTAAAAGTCCGCAACAAACTTTTGAAATTTAAAAAAAAAAAAGAAAGAAAAAGAAAAATTGCACAACAAAATAACTCATCCTTGATTCAACAAGCTACTTAGTTGCTTAAACCTATAAATCCGCGGCTCATAATAAATTTAGATTAGAAAGAAACTTAGGTTATATTTTTTAATCTCTCTCCTCATATCTCCTAAAATGAAACTTCATGACTGTTTCTGATAACTAATTCTAATTATATGAGTCAACGATCTTAAAGCTCCAATTGTAGAAGACTACATATAAACATAAATTAATCATGACACAATTCGTATATTAATTATTGCTTATTGCTCCATCAATAAAATATTATTCAAATGTTGTGTTGGCACAGGAGTCAATGCCACAAGGCTGTGATCGCAGTGACTTAAGAGTGGGTTGTGATAAATGTACCTATAAATTTATTTTTAATAGGAGAAAATTTTTTTAAAAAAAATTAGAGTTTCAAATGGACCCAAAAATTTTCAAAATTGCACTGCAACTGCGCCCCTGACGTATCATTGGAAATAGTCAATTTAAATAATTTGTACATATTTATGTAAGTCCTATTATAACAAGGATAAAGCAGAATGATGTGATATGTATTAGTAGTAATGAGATGACTAATAGAAGGCTGAAATTAACTCACTATAATAAAACAACAATACTTTTTTATGGAGTTGATATACAACTGCCCCAAGAACTAGGGCAGCAATTGCCAAAGAAAAGAAAAAGGGAAAGCGAGAAGAGAGAGAGAGTGCACCAAAATGCCTGGCTCCATTAAATGTTGTCCTTGACTAGGATGAACTGATCAAGTTGGAAGGAGTATGTGATGTGAGAAAAGCTGCGTGAAAGATGTATGGGCCATCATACTTAACCCTACAGGATGACCATACAATGCATGTGTCATGTGTTTTTCGATTTAAAAGCTTCCAACAAAGAGTACGACAGTCTGAACCTCATTAAAAGGATGTATCATTGGTGGCCTCATATTCTTGTCTTCGATCATCTTTCCCCCTGATCAAGCTTTTCCATTTATAACTTTCTTATTATTGCGGTGAATGTGAATGTCTCAACTCAACTCAACTCACCTCAACCTTCAGTTACACACTGGAAAAATCAGAGTTTGTTTTATATGTATATCTTCATTTCATCCTATCATCGGTTGAAATTTAGTTATTTTTCTCCCTCTCATTCGACCTACATTTAAAAAATTACTAGTTTTATTCATGTATTTCTCAAGGAGGGGGTAAGACATACTACTACAACACTTCTCAGCCACTCAAATACAGAAATAAAGTAACGCTGACGAGTTCAACCCACCCCCAAAAAACGAAAAGAAAAGAGAGAGAGAGAGAGATGATAAATAACCCAACCACTTATTTATTTGGAGTCAGCATCCTTCATTCATTTTAGTCAATATCTAGGATGGTAAAAATATAATAAAAATATTAAATAGACTTAAAAAATTAATTCGATGAATCACTACAATTGAATAGATAGTAGGTCCAGTAAATACTTAAATCTATAGTTAAATTAATATCAAATATAACAGTCACATCATCACGTCAAATTTTTAAGTTAATTTTTTGAAATTTGTGTAACATTGCTCAAAATATAATAACAAACAAAATGAAAGTCTATGATTCTGCATTTGGAACTTGGTGAATTTTTTTTTTTTTTTTGATCAAAAGAGTGTAAAATGACATTCATGTAAGGAAGTGATGATTAGAGTTAGTAGCAAGCAAAATCATGAACTCGTTGGGAGGACAGCTGACCCAATTCGCAGCAAGCGAATCAGTCATCGCTGCAACCGCCTGTTAGAGTAATCTAATATATTAGCATTCGGGGTAGATTAGTCATTTATGTTACTATGTTTTGCCTTAGTATATAAAACTACTATTGTGTAGTTTTGTTTTCTTAATAAGTTTATAAGACTGATCTGATTATTCTTAATGAATACATTTTTCCTCTTTGATTGATAATTGTTAATATGGTATCAGAGCCTATAATGCTAGCACAAGACCTGACATAGATTTTTCGACGAGATTCGAGACGCTACTCTCCTAGACTGACGGGCAATGACATGGTATTAGAGCATTGGTGTGCATTTGGCTAAGTTTAACACAGCCAAGGGAGATTTGGGATTATTTAGCTACATTGTTTGTTCAGTCCAATTTTGCAAAGAGATATCAGCTTGAGTATGAAATTCGAGCTGCATGTTAGAGTGATAAGACCATACAGAAGTTCTACTCGGTTATGACTGGAGTTTGGGATCAGTTAGCACTTGCTGAACCTGTTGAATTGAGTACTTATATGGTATATCGTACTTTTATAAAGGAGTAGCGGTTGGTACAGTTTTTGATGGCCCTTAATGACAACTTTAAGGGACTTCGTGGTTCTATTCTCCATCGTCTCTCTCTTCCCACAATTGATGCAGTAGTGAATGAGTTTTTGGCTGAAGAAGTATGTCTTAAGACTCTTTCTGAAAAGAGTTTTCTTTCATTGCCCGATTAGACTGTACTGACTGTACCACCCAAAAGGACTTCTCACTCACAAACTAAATATCGGGGTCGAGGTTGAGCTGCTTCAGATAAATGTAGTTTTTATCGTGAGGAGGGTCACTGGAAGGCTCAATGTCCTAAATTGGTGAACAATGAGGCCTTACATCAGCCATTTAAGCCCAAAGATCGTCATACAGCAACATCAGCTTCACTAGTGGATGAGACACTCTCATCAGCTCTCAGCATGACTATGATAGTTAATCAGTTACAGAAGTTTCTTTCCCTTCATCAACCAGGTGCCCTATCAATTTCTCCTTCCATAGACTCATTTACTACAGGTTCTTTAGGTATATCTCGAACTGCTTGGGTTTTTGACTCAAGAGTCACCTATCATATGACTAATCATTCTTCCTTATTTTGTTTTATTGTTTCTCCTCCCTCTATATCTGCCCTTGCAGCCAATGACACCCAAATGTCTTTGGCTGGTGTTAAAACTATCGTGTCTTCCCAACTTACACTTCCTGATGTCTATTATATTCCTCAACTTACTTTAAATTTAATATTTGTTAGTCAGTTGTTTGATTCGAAATTTTTAGTTCACTTTTCTTCTATTAGTTGTGTTGTGCAGGATCCACGATTCAAGAAGCTGATTGGGACAGGTCATAGAAATGGAGGGCTATATGTGGTGGACGAGCTTCATGTCCCTGACATTGTTGCATCTACTGTTGATTTATCTTCTTTCCAATTGAGTCCAAAATCATCTAGTTTTTATTTATGACATTTTCGTTTAGGTCATGTTTCTCATTCTCATTTAAATTTTTTAGTTTTTACTGGTAGTTTGGGTAGTTTAGAGTGTTATGATATTTCAGATTGTAGTGATTGCAAGTTGGCTAAATTTACTGTATTATCTTTCAATAAAAGTAATTCTCCTTCTCTTGGACCTTTTGATCTTGTACATTCTGATATTTGGGGACCAACTCCTATTGCTACTAAAGGGGGGTCTAAATATTATGATTCTTTTATTGATGATCATACCAGATATTGTTGGGTGTATCTAATGACACGTAGGTCTGACTTCTTTTCTATTTTCACTACCTTTTTGTGCTATGGTGCTTACGTAATCAATATTCTTCTATCATCAAATGCTTCTGTTATGATCAAGGTGTAGAATATTCTTTTAGTGTTTCTTGTGAATTGTTGAAATCTGATGGTACTATTTTTTAGTCTTCTTGTACCGACACACTTGCTCAGAATGGAGTGGCTAAATGAAAACATCGTCACATTATTGAGACAACTCGTTCTTTGTTTTTTTCATCCAATGCCCTTAGCACTTTTTGGGGATAAACAGTTCTTACAGCAGTTCACCTGATTAATTGTATTCCTACAATCCTTAATTCTGGTGTCTCACCTTTTAAAAAATTATGTGGTAAGACACCCGACTATTACTCCTTAGGTGTGTTTGGATATACATGTTTTATTCTGCTACCTAATGTTAATCGTACCAAAATCTCGGCTCGTTAAGTCTTATGTGTTTTTCTTGGCTATAGTGAAAGACAAAAGAGATTTTGGTGTTATGATGCTAGTATACAAAAACTCTATGTTTCTCATCATGTGTGTTTTTATGGAGCATATTCATTTTTTCTCTATTCCATCTAGTTCTTCATCTCTACATAAATCTGACATTATCTATCGTAATACCTTTCCCTCTAATGTTTCTCCTGATTCTTATGTTGGTGATATGACTGTGGTTCATCTTTCCTCCTTTTCTTCTTCTTCTTCTTTGCATGATTTGTCTGTTACCCACCTCCCGATTGTGCATACTTATGTTCGCAGTACTCTCATTGTTTCCTACCTAGATGTTGTGCCTTCGTCTACACCTCTTGGCTCCCAATCAAATTCTGACACCGTGGATCAAACTCCCCGTTACCCTCAGCGTACTCGAAAGTGTCCTAACAAGTTTGGTTGGTCCAA